GGCGAAGGGCTTGCTTGAGATGCTCGATACTTTGGTATTTTCCGTGCCAACCTTGCTTTCCAAAATAATCCAGACACAATACTCCAACAGATTGGTATCCGGAGATTTTGATGGCCATTGTGCGCTGGAAATGAAGCGAGGAACCTCATTTTGTAATCAATGTTGGGTGCTGAGTGCGATAATGCTGAGCGAATTAGGTATTTAACGTAGTGGAAACACCTGTTTCGTAAAATACCGATGCTTTCTTAGAGATCGTATGTTTTGTATCCCTTAATAACATTAGCCAACAGTTTAGTGGTTTTATAATAATTTAAATACGAATTATGCAAAATCACACGTTTTCTCCCCCTTTAAACCCCATGTGACTCTCATGAATGGATTATAAAAATGTTTGCTCTAATTCACTTCCACGTTCCATCATAGGGAAAATATCAATATTCAAGCCTCTTTATGACTATTAATCACGCAGTAATATTGAACGACCTTTGATGCTGGTAGAAGTTCCAGTAACCTCCATTAGAAAGCTTTAGTATTTTTTTCCAAGGAATAGTGTATATTTTAGTACAAGTTGTAAACAATATTAGAGCCAATGCCGATTTTCTCTAATCTGGTTCTCCCTTTTGACATAATATCTAAACTGCATTATTATATTCAGTACTTTCCGTAGCCTCCACCATACATAGTATGTAGGGTGTATAAAGTTCCCACTGCCGTTTCATACTCGTCGAAATAATCATGTAAGTTTTCGATCAGTGTAAAATTCTAAGAATTCGTTAAAATAGTTTTGGGCTAAATATTACTTTTCTAAATATTATTATACCCTACAACACTTTGTGTTGGGGGTATTATAAGTTTGATTGGGCCAAAACTTATGTAACACCTCGAAATATTGATTTCCCACATAGGAAAGTATATATGGATCTTCCTATCTCGCCGAGCTGAGTCGATCTAGCTATGTATGTCCGTCCGTCCGTCTGTCCATGTTAATTTGTAATCACTCTACAGGTCGCAATTATGGCCCGATCTTCACGAAATTTAGAATGGAGGTGGGGATAAGGTCAGAATAGAACCCTATTTCTTTTGGAGATGATCGCACAATATTTAAAGGTCGAAATGGACCAAAAACTGAAAAAAATCCTGATTTTGCAGTTGCTCTACAGGTCGCAATTATGGACCAATCGACGCGGAAATTAGCACGGGGCTAAAGCTTCGGGCTGGGCAGAAGCCTTTTTTGATGGTCATCGGGTAATATTTAGTGGGTAAAATAGGCCACAACATTTGTGTTAAATAAAAGTCAAATTTCCATTATACCGCGAATATTTTTAGTCCCGGCGAAATCATAAATAGACGAACAGGTCAATTCTGACCGTTACGTAGATGCCGATAGCAAATATATTGGATACATACAGCGAAATATATACAATGTATATATACAAAGGAAGGGGTCACAAATAGAAATCAAAGGACACGAAAACTCGCATGAAGTTCGAATTTAGGACAGCGGGTAGAATGGACCACAACTTCTGTGTGAAAAAACACCAGCATTACTTATAGGCGATATCCGAAATACACAAAAGGCGAACTTCTGGCTTTTTATGCTGATTTCGTTGAATATATAGCCAAATATCGTAAACAAAAAAATTATATAGATGAGTCTAAATTTGGAGATACAAAAACCGAAAAAATATCTTGATCACACAATTGAAGCCAATCCACACCCCTGAGAAGAGAGTTAAGGACAGGGAAGAATTGTAGCATTTTGAATGACCGTTGGATTATATTTAGCTGTAAAATAGATCACAACAACTAATAGCATGACGGAGTGCTTAAATATTGGTCAAATGTCTCTGGTCAAAATGTTAAGGGTAATAAAAGGTAATAAAAAAAATCTTCCATAATGGATTTGGACATAAGGGGGCTTCTAACATATTGTAGTGTTTTAGGGTATCAGATGGTTGGCCCCGCACGACTATAGCCTTTGCTTATTTGTTTTATATTGGACTTACAAAAATGAGGAGTTTTTCAAATGTTTGTTTATAGTTTTGTATGATATCACATGGTTGGAGCAGCACGATAATAGTCTTTGTTTACTTGTTTTAAATATGTCTTATAAAAATGACGGCTTTGGACACGATGCCTCTTCCCGATTTGTCTTTTTAGCAAACTTATATCGATCTAAATATCGATCTACTCCTTCTGTTACATCCCAACAAAAATTCAAAATCTTGCAAAAAAACAAACAAAAACGCTAATCGAGTACTGACCGAATCGAGTACCTGATTTACTTCAAATGGGGCACATTGTAGTATATAGATAAGGTTTAGGTTTGGCCTGAAAATAGTTCGCTCCTTTTTGTACCTTTCCCACAATAACTAAAAATTTTGCATAATAATAACTCTGGTAATATGTGAAATGTTTGTTCGATTCTTATTCAAACTAAGCACATTGCAATATGTTGGCCTCTGTTACAGTAAGTAAAAAAATCGAATATATCAGTATGCTATTTCTGTTACTTCCCACACAAAGTAGAATATATAAATCGAGGCCATATCCAAATCTCAAACAATTTTGAAAATATTTTGGACATGCATTTCTAGTACGTATGTTACTAGCTTCCAACGGAAGAAAGAAAAATTTATACATTTTTCTGAAATTCATATTAAGTCCGTAGAATTTTTGGTTTTAAAAATGGGCTATATAGGTCCTCATTTTGATATAGCCCCCCACATAAATGTACCAACAGATTTAAGGTTTTTGGGGTTTTCCGGCAAATTGGCAGTTTGTTTTCCCTATACGTAAAAAACATAATTTTAGCAATAATTTTCAAACAGATCTATATTAAAATTGATGTTTGGATTATGTAGTAAGTACTGCTCTCGCGTGTAATTTAACGCCTGATTTTCGAAAAAATTTTCCAACATTTGTCAAATGGTGCTGAGTACTGTTGGAATGTCCAAGGTTAGCGGCCAAAATCTTTGCGTTCCCAAGGCTTTAATAAACCCTCCAGAATATTTTCGCGATAATATTCGGCATTTATTCTGATAAATTAATACGAGCGGAGAGCGACCATTGCCTGTTATGACGGCCCACACCATCACCATGGCCGGCGCTTGAGTTCTGGTGGCTAACCGAAGGTGCACATTTTCAGCTGACCTCTTTGGTAAGTAAACACGATCAGTTTGTTTGTTTACAAAATGCTGGACAACGAATGTTTTCTCATGGGGGAAAACCAAATTCGGCAGTTCACCACTTTCGGCCAAGCGAAGCAACTCTTTAGCTCTTTTGAGTCTATTTTCTTTCCGTTGCGGTGTAAGTTCTTGCACTTTTTAGAATTTCAATGGCTTTACCCCGATGTCGTTTTTCAATATTTGCCGAATGGAGTATTGCTATATATTCAGCTCATGAGCCATTTTTCGGCCACTGCGACGTGGCTATCGATCATATTGCTTCTTTACTTTTCGAACCATTTCTGCAGATGTTGCTGTTTTCTCCCGTCCACTTCCTTGACGTCGAGCTACGCTACCAGATATAAAAGATTCATTCACATTTAAATGCTGGAGTGCTCTCACGATAGCCACTTGTGGTTTTCCAGCCAAATATAAAGAAATCACACTACCACGCTTGAATTCCATCACGAATAGCTTTTTTTCTGAAAAATTGTCACAAACTTGCTTTTGTATGCTTCTAAACAATATTTTACTATTAAAATTAATAAAATAGTTTATTATTAAAATAATAAAATTATAGTTTTTGTTCTAGCCATTATTGAGGCAATAATCACCCCTTTTTATCTGCCATGTTAGACTAGACATAATATATATATATATAAATTCTTATTTCATGTGCGAAAATGTAAGATAGGCTAAAAATATCTCAATTATATCTGCATAAATATGATAAAATCCAATACAAATACAAAATAAATTTACATTAGGCTCAAAATGGAAAACATATACATTCTTCTTCTTCTAGCTTCTCCCCAAAGGATTACAACTTTAAGCAATCATGGATCTTGTATGGTTCATACCAGAAATATCGTATATACCAGAAATATTGTATATCCAGAAATATCGTATATCTAGAATAGTATTCATGAAATTTGTTGTTGAAGTCTTTATAAAGCCAAAATTAATTACTACAATATAAATGGTGGTAATATCTCAGATGTGGAATTATTTAACGAAATATAACAAATAAAGATCTTTCGAATGGAAGGTATGAGTTCCATTAGCCATTGCCTTTTCCAACTGAAAACGGAACATTCAATCATGTACAGTATTATGCTGTAGGGTACAAGAACACTACACAGCAATAGGGAAGAGTAGCAAGTTCTAAAACACATTTCATTGTAACGAGTCACGGCAAGGTTCTACATATCCATGCTCCAAATATTCCTCATACGCACACAGGCACATGCATATTCATGTGCATAAACGGAAAACGAAACCGAAACGATAGTATGCAGCAATACAACTATGACGAACAAAGAAAATCGACGGTTATGTCAATGCAATATTCTATGGAAGTCTAAACGAAGGCATGGAGCAATGCATGAATGAATGCATGAATGATTGGCATTGAATTGTTGAGGTTGTTGTTACAGTTGAAGAGTGCGTAGTACGTATATACATACGACAATAACAACAACGTCCATGTACTAAATGGATGGATGGATAGATGTGCTGTTGTGTTCGACTGTCACTCAGGCAGTCAGTTGTTTTCTCTAGCCGTAGCTGTCTTTTGCCGGTTGTCGATGAACAACGCAATTCTTTCCGCTCTGTATCCGTTAATTGGCACACATCTCCATAATCACGATCTGGGCATAAACTCACATAACCTCAGACACTTTCAGTTGCGGCAGCGTTAAGACAAAACAAACAAAACTATGCAAATGTGCGTAGAGATGTCGCCAAAAATAGTGATGACAATTTTTTTCGCATTCGCTTTCCCAAAACATGTCCTTCGGCAAATGTTTGCAATCGAAATTAGTCTGGCAACTCTGCTCGCATGCAAGTGTTTTTTTCTGTGTGTCGTCAAGCAAATAAAAATTTAATTAAATTTTCGCAGTTATTGTGTCTTTAGAAATTATAAATTGTGATTTTTTAAATATATACATTTCAAGAGTTTGCAAAAGTGTGAAGTTTTTGTGAAACATAGTGTTTTTATACTATTTTACAAAATTTAATTTTGTGCGCGTTGATCATTTTTTTGTGTTTTAATATTCTTTTCTGTGTTTTTATTTACAACGTAGTGTTATTTCTTTTGTCTTTGACGTTTGTGCCTGATTCCCTTTTGCTGTCCTGTACGTATTAAATATTAAATTAGCTTTCCTGAGCATACTTTTAGGCTGTTACTGTAAATTTGTTATTACACTATTTCCCTAATACACTGTTTCCTTTAGTATTTCGAATTAACATGGATTGCTCGAATAAAAATTGCAAAGTTACTAGTTTTAAAGAACGTTTACTAACATGTTGGCTATGCGATAAGCATGAACATTTAAAATGTGCAGGTCTTAATGGCCGCCATTTTGATGTTCTTACTGATCGCGAAAAATATGGTTTACGTTGGGCATGTATTGATTGTAGGCCCTTAGAAATTAACTTTTATACCCACTTCAAAGAGTCCAAAACTGAATTAGCAGCTTTGAAGAAGGTTTTCGACGAAGCATTTTTAAAGCTTCAGCATTTTGAAAAAAAGTTTAATAATTTTCAATTCCTGGATGGATCTCCGAAACGAAAGAAATCCTCAGTTTTTGTACCTGGTGATGATTTGATCCGTTTAAATTCACCAGCTGTGGCTCAGCCACACAACGCTGCCAAATCTTTTGGCTCGGACATCCCACCCTCTATTGATGATAAAACTATTGAAATTGTTACAGGAAATGCTCCGGTCGAAATGCAATCTTCTAAAACCGTACCTATAGCTTCTCAATTCTTAGCGCCTGCAATTGTTGTTAACTCGTCCAGTACAATAGCTAATACTATTCCTGTAATTTCTACTGACAACACTAATAAGCAAACGTTATCGTCTCCACGTTCGGCAGAACCGTTAAGGGAAGCTTCTGTTACTGCAGAATCTAATAAGCCTTTCGTTCTCACCAAGCCTCGAGCGGTTATAGAAACAAAATCTGTTCCTGCAGATAAATTTAAAAATAATCTATCTGTTTCTGCAGATACTATTAATGAAAAGTCTGTTTCTGCAGACAATAACAATGTAATCCTTACGCCTTCTGATTTAAATGAAAAGTCTGTTTCTGCAGACAATAATAACGAATTCCCTATGCCTTTGCCTACGGATCAACTTATTGTTGTAGCGCCGCGTAAAACTATATTTGTGTCTCGATTGCATCCCGATACTACAGTTGATAACCTTCGGTCTTACATAAAAACAAAAATTCCAAATTTACCTGATAATGGCATAAAAATTTTTAAATTTAACAAGTCCCAACCTCGCGATATTTCATCATTTAAAATCATTACTCCTGCTAAGTTATTTAATTTAATAGTTAATAGAACGTTCTGGCCGGATGGATTGTTGGTAAAGGAATTTGTATTTAGGGAAAGAACAAACCCCGTTAATTTACCAGTTAATCTTTCAGTTGTACCATTGTCAAAAAACTAACTAAATCTCTATCTCTTCTCTATCAAAACGTGAGAGGTCTTAACACTAAACTTAGAAATATTTATTTAAAATCCTTTGACTGTGATTTCAAAATTTTGGTATTCTCGGAAACATGGTTAAAACCACAAATTCGTGACACTGAGATTTTATCTGATCAGTACCAAATTTACAGAAAAGACAGATTAAATAAAATGGGTGGAGGAGTTTTTATTGCCGTTCATAATTCCATTGCCTCAGAACGTATTTTGGTTACAGAACACCCTACGATTGAATTTGTTTGTGTTAAATTAAAGTATCTAAATTGTAATTTTATTCTAACTTGTTCATATATTCCTCCAAATTCAGACATGGATACTTATCTTATGCATTCAGCCTCAATAAAAGAGGTTTCATTATATCATTCCTCCAACGCGGAAATGATTTGTCTGGGGGATTTCAATCTGCCTAATCTAGCATGGGTCCCAGGAGAAAATATTGTAGATTATGTACCAGTATCTTCTATAGAACTTTCTACTGAGATGTCATCTTTTTGGGAAATCTTATTTGAGCAATGTCTTTATCAAATAAATTCTATCTATAATGCAAAAGGTAAATTATTAGATTTAATTTTTTCTTCTTCCTTAACTTCTTCTGTGTGCAGAATCCCTCCTTTCTCAGAGCCAGAGGATATGTATCATCCTACTCTTATGGTAGCCATTGAACTTAGTAACATTCAAACAAAACATACTTCATCTCAAAATAAGTCACGTAAGTTAAACTTTGGCAAGACAAACGTTGATCTGTTGCGTTCTACATTGTCCAATATAAATTGGTGTTTTGAAGGTAATTTGGATTTTCGTATTTCAAGCTTTTATAAAATAATTAACAATGCATTAGAAACCTCAGTCCCACTTGTGAAAATGTGCTGTGATAGGGGTCCAGTTTGGTTTACCCCACAACTTAGGCGCTTACGTAACATAAAAAGCAGGTTATTTAAAAAATTTAAAAAAATCAATTCTACCATAAACCTTACTAATTATACAAAAGCTAGAAGTTTATACAACACTGAAAATTCTAAATGTTACTCTGAATACCTAGTCAAGATGAGAAACAACCTCTATAAAAATCCTAAGAACTTTTATAAATTCGTTAATTCAAAAAGAAAAGTTCGTGAATTTCCCAGTAGTATGCGATTCGGAAGTAGAGAATCGTGTGAACCTAAGGAAATAGCAGACATGTTTGCAGATTTTTTTCAAAGTACGTATTCCAAACATTCTAATAAAGGTGTAAAATACTCTTATAGTATTAATAAACTTAATCATTTTCCTCATATTATTCTCACATCAGATGAAGTGTTGAAAGGTCTACTTTCATTGAAATGTTCTAATTCACCGGGTCCAGATGGTGTACCGTCTTTCATTTTAAAGGCATGTGCACATGAACTATATCTTCCTCTAACAAGTATTTTTAATACTTCGTTAACCCTAGGGTATTTTCCTCTTATTTGGCGTTCGAGCTTTATTATTCCATTGCATAAAGCTGACAGTAGATGTGTTATTGAAAATTATAGGGGCATTGCAAAACTAAGTGCAATTCCCAAACTTTTTGAGCGTTTGGTTACACAACGAATAACTCATTTCGTTACATCTATAGTATCACCGCACCAGCATGGTTTTGTTAAAGGAAGATCAACTTTGACAAATTTATTAGAACTGGTCTCTAATGTTCACACTGGATTCTCAAAAAATCTCCAAACTGATATTATATATACTGATTTCAGTAAAGCTTTCGATACGGTGGTGCATAATTTGTTAATATATAAACTTGACTTAATGGGTTTCTCTACAATTCTCCTAAAATGGATATCGTCTTATTTGCATGACCGTACCCAAAAGGTATCTTTTAATAATACTCTCTCTAAAAATATTACAGTATTTTCTGGTGTTCCTCAGGGTAGCCATTTAGGTCCACTACTTTTTGTACTTTATTTAAATGACCTTCCATCTATTATTCGTAATTCAAAAATATTAATGTTTGCTGACGATGTTAAACTTTTCTGCACTCTTGATTCCCACAACGAATCGCTTAATCTGCAACAGGACTTGTATTCTCTTGCTCATTGGTGTAGTGTCAATGGAATGTCATTAAATTTAAAAAAATGTAAAAAATTGTCCTTATATAGATCTCAGCATATGAACTACAACTATTTCATTGGTTCATACAAACTGGATAATGTTGAGTCGTTTCTTGATCTTGGTGTCATATTAGATAATAAATTACGTTTTAATTTACATATTGAGTCTTGTGTTAATAAAGCAAAATCTTTACTAGGGTTTATAAAACGTTGGTCAAAGGAATTCGACGATCCTTATGTAACCAAACGCTTATTTATCAGCCTTGTTCGACCTACTTTAGAATATGGCTGCGTACTTTGGAGTCCTTTTTATAAAATATATTCAAAAAAGATAGAGTCTGTACAGGTTCAATTTCTTTTGTTTGCTCTGAGAGGTTTAGGATGGAATTCAAATGAACTTCTCCCACCTTATGAGAGTCGGCTTAAACTTATCGATCTTCCTACACTAGAGAAAAGGAGATTAATGCTTAGATGTATTTTTATCATAAAACTTTTGCGTGGTCAAATTGATTCTGAGTTTTTAACTGGTGAAATTAAATTCAATATCCCCTCGCGAATTACGCGTTATTACATACCACTTAAACTAACATTAGCAAAATCGAACTATGAAATAAATAATCCTCTCCGAAGTTTATGTGCTGATTATAATAAATTATACAACACGATTTCTTTGTGTGAACCCTTGCATGTCATAAAAAACTCTATCCTACGTTCCTAGTTTATAAAATAGTTGCCAGACTTAGTTTCTGTGATTTAGTATTTGTATTGTTTAGTTTTATTGTAGTTTAGTTTAGATACTTTAATTATTTTAATAGTTAAACCGGCTGATGTTCTAATGTAGCCGGTTTCCCAAGTCTACTAACCCCCTATAATCCGGACTATGGGGTGTACGTGCTCCCTACGTTATGGGGAGGTGGCCCTCTCGGTCGGCAGGGGCGGGAAAGTGAGGCGTTGGGAACGATCGAAAAAAAAAAAAAAAAAAAAAAAAAACGAATGTTCAAATCAGACAAAGGAGAACACGTTTAATACACACAACTTTTTTGGAGGACAATAAAAAGAGAAGGGCGTGATGATGTTACATTAGATTAATGCTGACGGGAATTTAAGATAATTTTGAAGGGTAGAAAACTCTTGCAAAAAACTTGAATATTGTGCACATGCTAGATGTTTTGAGCATAAAAATACAACTTTAAAAAGGTATTATGTATTTTTATATTAAATTATTTTTATTTTGTAACTGTGACACGGGTGTAAACGAAGTGAGACAATTTTCTGGAGACTATTATAATTAGACACTTTTTGGAATCGTATGGCTGAAATATTCTGAACTAATATAATACAGTACATTAAGCACAAAAACTAAAAATATATCAAACGCCATAATTTTTATTTTTTTTTTTTAATTTATTGAATGAAAGCAAATAATATCGGAAATAGCATCAAATTTTAGAATAAGTTTAGATTTGTTCGAATTGGTCACTTTGGCCTTCAAACGGCCAATGACATCGTCACACGCTGCCCGAATGTTGCTCTATGGTATTTTGGTCCATTCCCGGCAAAGCACTTGCTTTAGGTGATCGAAACTTTGGTATTTTTTAGTGCCAACCTTGCTTTCCAAAATACTCCAAACACAATAGTCCAACGGATTGGTATCCGGAGATTTTGGTGGTAATTGTGCGCTGGGAGTGAAGTGAGGAACCTCATTTTGTAATCATTCTTGGGTGGCGCGAGCTGAGTGCAATGGTGCTGAGTCTTGTTGGAATGTCCAAGGCCTGGGGCCAAAATGTTTGGGTGCTTTTAATACACACTTCAGAATATTTTCGCGATAATATTCGGCATTAATTCTGATGCCACGGTCGATTAATACGAGCGGACAGCGACCATCGGCTGTTATGGCGGCCCGCACCATCACCATGGCTAGTGCTTGAGTTCTGGTGGCCAACCGAAGGTGCACATTTTCAGCTGACCTCTTTGGCAAGTAAACACGATCATTTTGTTTGTTTACAAACTGCTGGACAACGAATGTTTTTCATCGGAGAAAACCAAATTCGACAGTTCACCACTTTCGACCAAGCGAAGCAACTCTTCAGCTCTTTGAGTTCATTTTCTTTGTGTTGCGGTGTAAGTTCTTGCACTTTATGGAATTTCAATGACTTTACCCCGAGCTCATTTTTCAATATTTGCCGATATGTTCAGCTCACGAGCCATTTTTCGCCACGGCAACGCGGGTTTCGATCAAGTAGCTTCTCTACTTTTCGAACCATTTCTGCTGATGTTGCTGTTTTCTTCCGTCCACTTCCTTGACGTCGGGCTACGCTACCAGTATCACAGTAACGAGCGATGGTACGAAACACAAAATATTTATTCACATTTAAATGCTGAAGTGCTCTAACGACACTAATGACACTATCACGGTAGAATTCCATCACGAATAACTTTTTTTCTGGAAAATTCTCACCAAAATGCTTTTGTATGTCTATAAACAATATAATGAGCTGTGACTGCAATAATTTTAACAGCTGTCAGACGAGTGGCTTAGAAATAACGGCAGTCTGAATTTGGTTGTAGTTTTTTCATCTCACCCTGCATATATTTCAACCAGATTCTCAACAGTTAAAATATGAATTAACATAAAACACCAGTAATTCCAATATTTGTCATAGGTTCCATATTACTGTCCTTTCGATATAAAAAATTTTGAACGATTTGGAAGTGTTTGACAACCAAATTACTTGTAATTTGATATTTCAGTACTCAAAAGTCACTAAACCTTATTTTCCAAAAAAAAAAAAAAAAAAAAAAATAGACTCCACAAAACGATATTTCCTGACTTTTATTAAATTTAGGATAGCATGAATCCTAAATTTAAAAAATTTCCTGTTCATGT